ATTCCTCAGGGGTCTGTATTGGGACCAGTATTATTTAACATCTTTATTGAGGACATGGACAACGGGATCGGGTGCACCCTCAGCAAGTTTATGGATGACACCAAGCTGTGCGGGGCGGTCAACAAGCTAGAGGGAAGGGAGCCCATCCAGAGGGACCTTGACAGGCTGGAGAGGTGGGACCGTGCAAACCTCATGGAGTTCAACAAGGTCAAGTGCAATGTCCTGCAGCTGGGTTGGGGCAATCCCAAGCACGGATACAGGCTGGGCGATGAGTGGATCGAGAGCAGTCCTGCAGAGAAAGACTTCGGGGTGCTGGTGGATGAAAGACTGAGTATGAGCCAGCGACGTGCGCTCACAGCCCAGAAAGCCGATTACATCGTGGTCTGCATCAAGAGATGTGTGGCCAGCAGGTCAAGGGAGGTGATTCTCCCCCTCTACTCTGCTCTGGTGGCACCCTGCCTGCGTCCAGCTCTGGGCCCCTAGCGTAAGAAAGACATAGACCTGTTGGAGCAGGTTGAGAGAGTTGGGGCTGTTCCACCTGGAGAAGAGAAGGCTCCGGGGAGACCTTTCAGTGGCTTTCCAGTGCCTAAAGGGAGCCTACAGGAAAGGTAGGGAGGGACTCTTTATCAGGGAGTGTGGTGATAGGATGAGAGAGAACGGTTTCAAACTGAAAGCAGTTAGATTTAGATTACATGTAAGGAAGAAATTGGTTTCTGTGGGGATGGTGAGACGCGGGGACAGGTTGCCCAGAGAAGCTGTGGCTGCCCCCTCCCTGGCAGTGTTCAAGGCCAGGTTGGATGGCGCTTTGAGCAACCTGGTCCAGTGCAAGGTATCCCTGCCCACGGTAGGGATTTGGAACTAGACGATCTTTGGTTTGTCCTCAGCTTTGCTTCCTGGCTTGCTGTCAGAGGGCCCAACTACAGTGAAAAAATGCTGTTCGATAGTGAGGTGAGGTTTGTGCAGAATTATCTTTTCTGTATTATGTGATTTACATGGTTGGAAGAATAGGCAAGCTTCAGCAGGCAAAGTCTTTGCACTCATATTTCAGCAAGGTTCTTAACATTAGAATTGCATCTATACCTCTTCAAATGCAGGTGGCTGGCTAAAATTTTGATAAGTCTCTGATATTATCAAAGCTAATGTTTCCAACAGAGTTTGTTCAAGGATCTGACTAGAAGTATTTTCGGAGAAATACGGTCAAGTTCTTAAAGCAGATGCATATGTGCATAAATTACCTTCAGGCTACATGCTCAAGTGCTTTTATTATGAAATCAGTTTAGAAGTTTTTGGTTTGTTTACTATTCTAATGCTGAAATCATAAGCTAAAGAAGTATGAGAAAAAAGTTACTGGGCTGCAGCTGTATCATAATGACTTTCCAAAATCACCTATTTTCAATAGAAGTATATAGTACAACAGAATGGACAAGAAAGACTACGCAATGTATCTATACAGGTTTTAACCTCTTTACAAGAAATATTTTTGAAGCAACTGTTTTTTCATTACTTGTATTCATCAATATTAATTCTCATCGCATTGAATGTACAGAGAAAACTACTGGCCTAGTAGAATTTGCAGTCTATATTGTAAGCTAGAAATAGCTGTGCCTACCTGCCCAAGTAAAACAATCTCAGGACTTTGTGCTGTATTGGACATGTTAGGGACTTACCTGTAGGATAAA